TAAAATATAATTGAGACTTAAAAAAAAGACTGTATAGGTTATTGATTAATGTCATTGTACCAGTGAAAAAAAGGTATATTTTCAGAATAGGTTTAATTATATAATAGTTTGAGTAAGAGTGGCGTGTGCACAACTGTGTGGAACTATGTTTGTATTTGTAATTTTCCAGTTGATTACTCGGTGACAAAAACACAGGGTCATGAGAATCAATCACATAAATCTGATATTTAAACTGTAAATCAATTGACAACATGCGTCTACAAAGTACATCTGTAGTTTATGGAGATGTTTATACTAAAGTACCTCGCAAATGCTTGTTAACACTTGATTTACAGTCTAATGATCAGATTACTGTGAATCAATGCAGTCTGGGACGTATAGAATACAATCAAATCAAACAGTTATTTTTTTCGTTTTTTGTGGGGTTTTAAATTGTCTCTTAAATGCCCTTTCTTTCTTCATCTCTTCTTTCTGTTCCCTTTTAACTTTTATTTCCCTTTTCTCTTCCATGACTTCATCACTAGTCAGCAGTCTGTGGGAAGTGTTCCTTTTCTTCTGGCTGACTTTGCTAGTACTTTCCGCACTTGGTTTTGGAGGCAAAAACTAATTTTCTATGTCATTGTTCCAAACGCTGTCGGAGTCCATACATGTACCAAGTTCCAATTGATCGCTGCTTAGTAAGCTAATCAACAGTTCTGGGTGATCTATGTCTGGCAAAGACTCAAATGAAAGTTGAACTTGGCCATTTACTGATGGTATAGTGGGTTTGGCAGTGTCTACAGTTAACGTAGCAACCGATTCTTCGTGAACAAGGGAGAGGGGGATACTGGGTGTTAGGCCAACTGATATCTGAGATGTTATTGTTGTAGGTAAAGCAGTAGACGCTTCAGAAGAGATGGAGAGAGGGATACACGGTATTACCGGTAGTGAACGCTCTGCTGTTGTGGTTGTGGTTTCTAAAGGCACAGCACCATCTGTAGACGCTTCCGGAGAGGTTGAGACAGGAATACGGGGAGACAATGAAATTTGATCGGATGTTACCGTAGATGTTGGACGATCTGATGGCTGTGATGGGGCGAAGGACTCCTGTGAAATAGCTGTGGGATTGAATGGGAATACTCCACACGCCCTAAACCCGCTCACAATGTTCTTGTGTGTAAACGAAGTATCCCAGGCAGTCTTAACTAACCCAGGAAAACTCCATTTCGTAACTGTGTTGAGTGGATTTTGACCGAGATAGTCAGAACACGCAGTATTGTAGGCTGTACTAAATGGTCCGAAGACGGACCTATCAAGGGGCTGGAGGATGTGCGTAGTGTGGGGAGGGAGGCATAATATGGAAACGTTATTTTCTTTAGCCAGCTCAAGAATAGCAAGTGACTCGTGAGACGAATGCCCATCTAAAATTAATATTTGAGGCCTCTCATCTCCACACTCTCGTAAAAAGACATCACGAAACCACTCCTCGCCAATCTTGTCGGTCATCCAACCGTTGTCTTGATGGGTCCATTTTGTCCCAGATGGAGCGGCCGCCGTGTTGAAACCATGTATGGACAAGTTTGTCTTTCCCTTTACAACGAACATAGGGGACATGGACCTGCCTGCCGCATTCACACACGCCATTATAGAGACATTTGTCCTATTGTTCCCAGTACGCCCAACAACATTTTTCGAAGACTTTTCGGCTATGACCCGAACTGGCGAATGCTCAAAGCTACGACCCGTCTCGTCGTAGTTCCAAATTGATTGGGGTTTATTACTAAGGTTGAGTGACGCAATTAATTCCCCGAGAGACGCCATATATTTGCTGACAACAGTTGGATTCAACATCCGGGCTCTTGATGCTGCAAGCTTTTCTGGACGGCGAATTGAAAGCTCCGGGTGACGCTTCTTAACCCCTTCCCACCACTGGTTGGAGGGAGCGACATTCTTAAATGGTGTAACTCGGTACCTCCGACAGAGGTCTCCGGTTCTCGTCAGAAGCTGACGCCTTGATATGCCTATCCCCTTCTTTGCCGCAGCCTTCACTGTATCCACAATTTTGTTTTCAATGGTGTCCGGCAAAGCAGCTGGTCGGCCAAGCCGAGGGTCAGACCCATATCGCTGATTAACCCTATCAGCTACAGTGGATTTCGGTACAGCGAACATTGCCGATGCTTTCCTGACCGACATTGATCTGGACGTGACTGCATCGACTGCCCTCTGTACATCATCCCTGTTGTACTGTATACGCTTCTTCTGCGTTTTTACCTTCCCAGGCATCTGAAATTGTAAAAATGATTTCATTAGGCTGCATTTCAGTCAACACCATATATTTT